GTATGCCAAAAGCCATGTGGACAAACCACAAAAGTTGTGGGATAGTGTTCTGTGGACTGATGAAACAAAATTAGAACTGTTTGGGCCCATGGATCAACGCTATGTTTGGAGGAGGAAGAACAAGGCCTATGATGAAAAGAACACCTTGCCTACTGTGAAGCATGGTGGAGGGTCAATCATGCTTTGGGGCTGTTTTGCTTCTGCAGGTACAGGGAAGCTTCAGCGTGTGCAAGGTACCATGAATTCTCTTCAGTACCAGGAGATATTGGATGGAAACGTGATGCAGTCCGTCACACACCTGAGGCTTGGGAGACGTTGGACCTTTCAACAGGACAATGATCCCAAGCATACCTCCAAGTCCACTAGAGCATGGTTGCAGAGGAAAGGCTGGAACATTTTGGAGTGGCCATCGCAGTCACCAGACTTAAATCCGATTGAGAACCTCTGGTGGGACTTAAAGAAAGCAGTTGCAGTGCGCAAGCCTAAGAATGTGACTGAACTGGAGGCCTTTGCCCATGAAGAATGGGCGAAGATACCCGTAGATCGCTGCAAGACACTTGTGTCAAGCTATGCTTCACGTTTAAAAGCTGTTATAACTGTAAAAGGATGCTGTACTAAGTACTAAGATTGAATGTCACTTGGGGGTTGAATAAAACTGATAATGCTGTGAGCACAGAAAAGACATTTGTGGTTATTTCATTATAACTGTTATGTTATATTTGTCTGACCTACAAGTGCCTCTTTAATGTAAATGTAAGCAAGATGACTGAATGATCAAAAGCAATGTCAAAACTGGCCAACTCAATTTCAGTGGGGGTTGAATAATTTTGGACACAACTGTATATATATATATATATATATATGAACCAACACTGCTTATTAAATTCTTAAACATTTTATTTCATGGCAGATTGAAACTTTTTTTTTTTTTTTTTGCATTGGGGACGGGGGGACACTAGCACAATTTGATTAGTGTACTGCTCTCTTGAGTGACATTTGGCTCTGTTCTGTGTGCAATCCTTAGGTCTTTCTATAAATGTTTTCTGTGTTTTTTGTATCTGTATACCTTTTTATTCTGATTTACTACATTACATTTTCACTTTTTTTTTTTTTCATCTCCTTTTGAGTCATACATTTTCATTATCTTATTTATTTTAAGTTATTACCTTACCTTATGGCATTTAACATTGTATATTAGAAAGCTAATAGAAATATGTTTGTAATAATGGTGATCCTGTATCATTGGTAATCATTGATATTGCGTTCAAGTGGTCTTCGTTCCAAATGTTAATCTGTTGTGGTTACCTATAGCACTCTCCTCAGAGTTCATCTCGTTTCGAGATCAGGAACGGTAAATGGCAAGACTACGCAGTTTCTAATATGTGATATCTCACTGACTTTTACGTGTATCTTATAGACGGAAAGAGCTTTCAAATAACATTTTGACTTTTTAATAATTGACAGCTTCACTATTTCTTTAGCTTGTTTGAAAGCTAAATTTTCATACTTACATTTCAGGTGGTAGAATTGTGTCCTCCAAACCCTTTGCACCTCTCAACTTTCGAATTAACAGTAGAAACCTCAGTGGTGAGTCATTTAATTTATATTATTTTGAAAAAATACTGTGTGCTTAAAGTGGAAATTTAGACAGAAAATTAAGGCCTGCTAGATCACTTCAGGCCTCTTTTACAGGTATAGTTATGTAAAGCATTAAAAATAAGTACCTAAACTTTTTAAAATCTGGTAATACACTGTCTCTACCTGCTCTGCATATGTTCAGATGCCCTCTATGTTTAGGTACTGTGCTGCAAATCAGAGCCACTAGAGGCCGATCTGCTGACAGCCTAAAGATTTACTGCTGCTCAAGGGCTCTGGGCTTCAGCAAAATGGCAGCCTCCAGCAAGAAGAAACTAGAGCAATATGCAGCATACACTAATTTTGGTAGCTAAAGAACATTATTTTTTAATCAAGTTGTTTTGGGTGGAGTTCCACTTTAAAGATGACCCAGCAACCTGCATAAAGGTCAAGGAGAAGAATTGAAGTCTAGGATGTAAATAAACTTGAATTTTAGCAGAAAGACTAGGGCAGATTTGACCCACCCCATGTAATATTTCATAGCCCCTAAATTGTCTTCTTTTAGGGATAGTGAATGAATAGCTCACCTACCTGTAATTTACTTGTTAACTGCTCTCTCCTAAATATAAATTTCACACAGCACTATCCATGAATGAGTTATGTAGGTTAGTGCTTGGCTTTGTTTTGCTTTCTTAAAGCAGACTTCCAGTCAGTTTTTTGTTACATAGTTAGTCTGGCTGAAAAAAGTCCATCCAGTTCAATAAAAAAAAAAAAAAGTATAATTCTATACCCACAGTTGACCCAGAGGAAGGCAAAAAAAAAAAAACAGCAAAGCATGATACAATTTGTTCCTGCGGGGGAAAAAATTACTTCCTGATCCCCTGAGAGGCAATTGGTTATTCCTTGCATCAACTTTACCTATAAATGTTAGTAACACGTTTATATTTTTTGTGTATCCAAGAAAGAATCCAGGCCTTTTTTAAAGCAATCCACTGAGCTCACCAGAACCAACTCTTGACGGAGTCTATTCCACATTTTCACAGCTCTTACTGTGAAGAAACCTTTTTGTATTTGTAGATTAAATTTCTTTTCCTCCAGACATAGAGAGTGCTCCCATGTCCTCTGTGATGACCTCAAGGTGAATAACTCTACACTGAGTTCTAGACTGCAAATCTATTTGCACTGTTCCCCTAACAGTGCCTTGGTTTGTGAGTACCTGAAGCATTGGGCCTAATTGCATTATTGTTGTGCAGATGTAACATTTTTAGTTCAGACAGAGGTATACTCTACTAGTAGTTCCAAGGTGTTAACATGTCCCTAGAGGGGACTATGCCTGTGTTCTGGGATCGTTTATGGTAATACAGCGTTGTGTTCCTCAGTTCTGTGTGGGTGAGGCTTGGATCTCCCCCATATCCACAGGGACCTCTGTGTCTACTCAGGGCTTCTTAGCTGTTTGCACTTAGCTATTGGTCAATTTTGCCAATTCACGCTCTTTAGTATGCTCCAGCACCATCTTCTGCAGAGTCTGCTTTGAGGCACCGCAGACTGTAGCTGTTAGCTTGTCTGACTTTAGATTCACTTTAATCTATCGAACCTTATCGGGATTAGTAGATTACCTCAAAAGGGTAAGCCCATGTTTCAGAGTGGCTGGAGCAGATGTCTGGATCATAGTGCTTGTGGCTTGCTACAGACATCTAGCAGTTTCTCCATCTAGACTGATTCTTGGGGAGTTGGCCATACTGGTGTTTGGTGCTCAGTGCCCCCATTTTAGGCTAAAGGCTAACCTCTTGTTTAGCACCTCCTTCAAGTTGCCCCTCACTTCTCCCTCTAGTGCTACTACACACAGCAGTGTAACTCTGTGCAGTTGAGGACTCTGCTTCTGGAGTTGTTCTCCATCTGGACTGCCACTACTGTTTGGAAGAATTCTATATCTTTTGAGTACTTTGGAATCCCCCATGGTACAACCTTTCTAAAGGACTTAACACTTGCAGGCTTTGCTTAGATAGGGCAGGTGTCTAGTACTGGTTTTGATCAGTCATCAAGGTGAGGTTGTTCAGCGTAAATCCTCACTAAAGTGGTCTACACCCTTTTTGCCATTGGACCCTTTAACTGTCCGTGAATTTCCTCCTCCTTCCTCAAGGATTTGTAGGGCATTGTGAGAGAGACTCTCTAAACATGGTCTCTTCTGTTGTTGGCTCTAAGTCCTTTTTAGTCGTTTTCTCTGTTGCTTAGGTCCTGGGCTTGGGGAGAGACATCCAGATGCTCACCATGGTCCAAGAAGTCACTGGTGTGAAAGTTCAGTCTCTTCAGGTTAATAGTCTTTCTACTGCTCTTGACCACACTGCAGAGAAAGCGCAATGACATTTTGGCTAATAAATTACTGTGATGGTTTTCACATTCTTGGAATATCTACTTTGTGAGATTAGTTGCCTGGTCATACAACCTCATTCCTATAATGGAACCTTCCTTCTCTGAATCCTAAGGATTGGTAGCGCAAGTAAGGCTTTTTGGTTTTCACAGCCACTTGTTGGTTCAGTGTTGCTTTAAGTGGAGCCCTTCCCCTTTGGCAGTGATGACTTCTGTTTTGGTCTTTAGCATCAGATTAGTCCTGTGAGTTCTTCCCTTGGTAGTCTACAACCCTTCCTACCCATAAGGGGGCTTCTCCTTATCTGGTTCAGATTTGGGTGTTGGTCCTTCTGGTTATTCTGAATGTTGACAGTTCCCAGTACCTGCTTTTTGTGCCTGTAGATGGTTGTTGCCCACCCTACAGTTGGGCTGCTTTCAGACATACTGACTGTTTTTTGAATTCCTGTGTCTCTCAGTGGATGAGAGAAAAACATTTTTTTGAAAATCCCATAAATTTGATTTCTTCGAGTCTGTTGAGAAACACAGGTCCCACCCCTCTGTGTGTGCTTTGTTCTTGCTACTGCTTTTTATATGCCTTCTGTAGGCTGCTGTATAACCTGACATTCTGTATTCCTTTGTTCCTCTTTGGACTCTAAGGAATAGATTTTGCGGGTTTTTTTTTTTTTTTTTTTCTTTTCTTTTTTTTTTTCTTTTTTGTTTTGTGCTGTCTACATCCTGTGGACTTTTTCAATGAACTTCCTATGGATATGTGTATACTGCAGCAGAGGCTGAGCATGAGTGCTCAAGTTTTACATACAGTTTAACAGAGAAAATTGACTCACAGATGTAGTGTAGAGCTCCAGCTCGCTATAGCATATCAACAGTTAAGTTATTGTATCGTAGTGTTTCCTAGTGTTTGGTCCTCAGTGATGGTGGAGATTGACAGTCATTGACCCTAATCCAAAATTTTGAGGTATTTAGTATGTGCAGATGTGTTTTTTTTTTTTTTTTTTTTTTCCTTTTAAAATGTTTTCCATACCTAACAACATCTTTGACCCTTTTCAGATATCGGCACAATAATGAGAGTAGTAGAACTGTCACCATTGAAGGGTTCTGTCTCTTGGACCGGGAAGCCAGTTTCCTATTACCTGCACACCATAGACCGGACTTTAGTGAGTTACTTTATCATTCTACTTTTCCTGTTGTGCCTTTCAGGTGGGATTTACAGTGGGGCAAAAAAAGTATTTATGGTGGAAAATAAGTATTTGGTCACCTACAAACAAGCAAGATTTCTGGCTCTCACAGACCTGTACCTTCTTCTTTAAGAGGCTCCTCTGTCCTGCACTCATTACCTGTATCAATGGCACCTGTTTGAACATATCAGTATAAAAGACACCTGTTCACAACCTCAAACAGTCACACTCCAAACTCCACTATGATGAAGACCAAAGAGCTGTCGAAGGACACCAGAAACAAAATTGTAGACCTGCACCAAGCTGGGAAGACTGAATCTGCAATAGGCAAGCAGCTTGGTGTGAACAAATCAACTGTGGAAGCAATAATTAGAAAATGGAAGACATACAAGACCACTGATAATCTCCCTCGATCTGGGGCTCCACGCAAGATCTCACCCCGTGGGGTCAAATTGATCACAAGAACGGTGAGCTGGGACCAACGTAACGAAGACTACCATCAGTAACACACTACGCCGCCAGGGACTCAGATCCTACAGTGCCAGACGTGTCCCCCTGCTTTAAACCAGTACATGTCCGGGCCCGTCTGAAGTTTGCTAGAGAGCATTTGGATGATCCAGAAGAGGATTGGGAAAATATCATATGGTCAAACGAAACCAAAATAGAACTGTTTGGTAGAAACACAACTCGTCGTGTTTGGAGGAGAGAGAATGCTGAGTTGCATCCGAAGAACACCATACCTACTGTGAAGTATGGGGGTGGCAACATCATGCTTTGGGGCTGTTTCTCCGCAAAGTGACCAGGACGACTGATCAGTGTACAGGACAGAACGAATGGGGCCATGTATTGTGAGATTTTGAGTGCAAACCACCTTCCATCAGCAAGTGCATTGAAGATGAAATGTGGCTGGGTCTTCCAACATGACAATGATCCCAAACATACCGCCCGGGCAACAAAGGAGTAGCTTCGTAAGAAGCATTTCAAGGTCCTGGAGTGGCCTAGCCAGTCTCCAGATCTCAACCCCATAGAAAACCTTTGGAGGGAGTTGAAAGTCTGTGTTGCCCAGCGACAGCCCCAAAACATCACCGCTCTAGAGGAGATCTGCATGGAGGAATGGGCCAACATACCAGCAACAGTGTGTGCCAACGTTGTGAAGACTTACAGGAAACGTTTGTTATATATCCTTTGTTGGCAATGACAGAGGTCAAAGTATTGAGATCAACTTTTGATATTGACCAAATACTTATTTTCCACCATAATTTGCAAATAAATTCTTTCCAAATCAGCCAATGTGATTGTCTGGATTTTTTTTCTCATTTTGTCTCTCATAGTTGAGGTCTACCTATGATGCCATTTACAGGCCTTTCTCATCTTTTTAAGTGGGAGAACTTGCACAATTGGTGGCTGACTAAATACTTTTTTGCCCCACTGTATCCATTTAAAGAACTAAAGTAACAAGTTTTTTTCTTTTTCCCCCCAAAATAAAAAAAGTGGATTTTTTTTTTCACTTTTAGAACAAACACTAAAATATTCTGCCAGATGCAAGTTGCAACACATTTAAAAAAAAAAAAAAAAAAAAAAACCTGCATATGTGGCCTCAGAACACTAATTGAAACTCCTGAAAGTTGACTAAGCTAATAGGCTCTTGCATAGCTTGGGTCTTTTTTCAGATTCAGCACATTAACAGGTCTGCTTGCAACCGACATAAGTTTGGGAGGCATTCGAGATAATTTAAAATTTGACAAGTGTAGTTGACCTACATCTGAGCTGCTCCCAAGCCTAATTGCTATAAGCAGCTTTTGCATTCACTTGTATTGAAAGAAGCATTTATAGCACAAAAAAGCCCATGTACACGGGCTCTAACAGTGGTGATGGTGAACACTTCCAAGTATACAGATTGCTGTGTTTCTTGGACAGAAAGAACCATGTGTTTGTATAGTAAATAAATGTTGCAGTGTATTATTTTTTTTTAAAAAAAATATATTCTACTATTTTAAAAAAACTTTAAAAATTAAATATTGCCTTAAGATGCTGACAGCAAGGAGCAGATACATCTGCCTTTTTTTAACCCCTGAAGTAGCCAATATTATATGTTTGGTACATGCACAGAAACAATTGGGTTAATTCTGTGGCAAGAGTGTTCTGCTGCGAACAGGAGATTAGTTACTAGCAAAAAAGCTGTTATCAGATATAACCCCTTCCACTCCCATCAAGCTCCAGTTTTTTTGTTTTTTTTTTCTGATGTTTTTGGCGAATAGATGTCTTTTCTTGTCTTTTCTCTTGAAAAGAAAGCAGGACTATTTCTGCTTTTGTCAGGATCCCATTGTTTGCATATATTATTTTTCTTTTCTAATATCTATAATTTTAAATGCTTCATTAGTGCCCTGTGTGTACTCCTGATACACTGCTTTGTCTTGTCTCATTCCCTGTCACATGCACCACTTTTTTCTCACTGCATTTCCCATGGTTCCCAGCTATAGACTGCCCATGCGCTGTATTTGAAAAAAAAAAAAAATGCCAGCTCCGCCTACCTTTGTCCTACAGCATACTTCAAGGCAGTGGGAGCAGTGGCTATTGTAAAGGCAGCAGCAACTTGAGGGATTAGCCTGTCTGGTACACTTTGCCCACTACATAATATATAGGGTTGGAAGCCCAAGAATTTACTCACCGAACATCTTATACAATAGAGATTTTACACATGACCGCTTCCCACTGTCAGCGGTTAAGGATGACAGCGGGCAAGGCAGATCCATGTCCGTCACAATGTCCACCAACCTACCAAAAGTAACTGTGTAGTGCGTTTGCTTGTTACCCGCTGAATGACAAGTCTGGTGGATGACAGCTGTTGTATGCAAGGGGAACAGGGTCCACCAGGTGATGTCATTAACCATATATATGGTCAGGGATGTCATCAAAATCCCATGTCTCGGATGTGGTGTGTTTTTTTTTTTTTTTCTTTCTTCCCATTGGGCATTCGAGACTGAGATGGATCTGTATCGCTGGACGACATGATAGACGATAGATGAGTGACATGTATTTGGAGATTTTCTTTTTTCAATGAAGGACTTGTCAAATGTTTGGGTTCCTTTTATTTCAAGCTTACAGCGTTTTTATTATTTGAATGGCCAGCCAGGCTTCATACTTGGCTTGAAGGTCTGATATGGATTTTCTTAGAGACCTCACACTTTTTTTTTTTTGGGGTACGCCCTTAAAATTCATACCATACTCAAAGTGCCTACTGTGAATACAGAGGGAACTGCCACGCTGTAATTTTTTATTAAACTTTCCCTGCTACTTTGCTTACATGGGCAGGGCTTCCCGATCATGTAAGTGAATGGGGTCAGTGATGTCACTGGTTGTAAAGGACTCATGTCTCATGACTCATGTTAAGGCCGGCGGCCTTAACAGTGATTGACAGAGGGAGCTGTCTTGTATACAGTGCTGTGAAAAAGTATTTACCCCCTTCCTGGTTTTTTACTTTTGTGCATATTTGTCATCCTTAAATGATTCAGATCATCAAACTAATTTTAATACACAAAGATAACCCGAGTAAATAAAAAATTCAGTTTTTAAACAATTTAATTTATGGAGTGGAAAAAAGCTGTCCCAAACCTGTCTGGCTTTGTGAAAAAAAGTAATTGCCCTCCCCCTTACTATATCATGAATGAAATGTGAACTGTTAACCACATATTTTGGAAAGCTGAGTTAATTTCACTTGCCAAACCCAGGCCTGATTACTGCCAGACCTGTTGAATCAAGAAATCACTTAAATAGAAGCTGTCGGACAAAGTGAAGCAAGCTAAAAGATCTCAAAAAGCGGCACATGCTGTGATCTAAAGCAATTCAAGAACAGATGAAAAACGAAGTAATTGTCATGTATCAGTCTGGAAAGGGTCATAAAGCCTTTTCCAAGACTATGGGACTCCAGCAAACCACGGTGAGAGGCAGTTATCCACAAATAGAAAAAACGTGGAACAAGGGTGAACTTTCCCAGGAGTGGCCAGCCTACCAAAATTACTCCAAGAGCACGACGACGACTCATCCAGGAGGTCGTGAAAGAACCCAGAACAACATCTAAAGAACTTCAGGCCTCACATGTCTCAGTTAAGGTCTGTGTTAAGGATTTGACAGTAAGAAAGAGACTGGGCAAATATGGCATCCATGGGAGATTTCTAAGGCAAATGCCACTGCTGACCAAAAAGAGCACAAAGGCTGGTCTCACATTTGGTAAAAAAAAAAAAAAAAATCTTGATTATCCCCTAGACTTTTGGGCAGGATGTGAGGTCACAGACCTGGCAAGAAACCAGCCCAAACATCCGCGGTTAGGGCAGCTGGACTTCTGGGCACATGGACTGAGCGGTGCAACACAAGAGAGGAAATAAAAGCTCCGGTTTCATAAACGAGGACTACATGTTTAGGCATTTGCAGTGGAAGTAGGAGAGGGTACCTGTCAAATTCGGGTATCCACTCTCCCAGCCCTCCCCCCGCTTCCCAAAGGTGCCAATCCTAAATAGGGTGCAGGGGGACAAAGGCTTAAAGCGGAACTTCCCCTTTTGAGTGGGGCTCCGCTTTAAAATCCATGGTTCAAATGATGAACAAAAATGCACTCACATTAAGGTGCCTGTATCCCAGCACCAGTCTGTGCAGCCAATATATATGCTTCAATCTGGCTGTGGAAAACTGGCATGTGCTCCAAGCCATTTGAGCCATGGCTCTTAATAAATATTACACTTAGAGCAATAAAAAAAACATTTTGTGGAAATAAGATTGTTCTTTTTGGGTCTAGTGGCCGGAGACAGTTTGTCAGATGACCCCCAAACACTGAATTCAAGCCACAGTACACTGTGAAAACAGTGAAGCATGGTTGCACAAGCATCATGATATGGGGATGTTTCTCATACTACGGTGTTGGGCCTATTTATCGCATACCAGGGATCATGGATCAGTTTGAATACATCAGAATACTTGAAGAGGTCATG